GATCCTGTATTTTAGGGATTTTGATTGAACCTTTTTAATCTTAATCTTTTCTACCTCAGGTAGTGCAGTATTCTCCAAGTGAAGTAAATACTTACTAAAAATTCAACTGACATTAGAGTGTTTTTCTATTGCATAAAAAAGCATTGAACAGATTTATATTACCTGTCAAATTCTCTTCTAATTATACAATTCAACTTCCTATTTTTGTCCAGTCTACCACAAACTTGAGATTCGTATCTCTCTTAATAATCGTTGGTCATTTATTTAAATAGTTAGTATCGCATATCTCTAATGTTGATTGTCAATGACCAATGTTACTTCATTCTATTCTTTATAACGTTCCACACAGACTATAAACGCAAATGATTTTCGCAGTAATTTTGTATTTCCTAGATATACTAAGTGCTCTTTAATAAAAACTGATATTTTGATTGCTCATGTATTTTTGCCCCTCATAAAATCTACTACATTCATACAGCCTTTAGACCTAACTTTCGATCTATTTTCTGTTAAACTTGAGACATGTTTGTTAACTGATTTAATGTGAAAGTGAATGCAGAAAAGTTTGTCTGTATGCTAAGACAACAGCTGCAGCCTGTTTATACCTACAGTCTCTCAAACTACATCAACATCTCGGATCTTTATGCATGGAAGCAGCAGTGATATCTGCTAGCGAGATAAACCATACGGCTAGGAAGAAGCCATGGATCTCAGTAGCATCCATCAAACTGATAGACGCTCGTAGACTCGTCCCACCTGGCTCATAACATGACGAAGAGCAAAATCAGCTTAAGCGCAGGCTGATAAAAGGCCTACGCAATGATTGCGAACAGTGGTGGGTAGCGAAAGCAAGGGCGATAGGCAACAGCAGACAGTTGCTATCAAGGAAACCAGTATCAGAAATCCATCTGTTAGCGAAACTTTTTCGGAATAGGATGAGCTTACCATTCATTCTCGATCCAGGAGATTGGATCGATGGGAACAACACTTTAGGGATCAGTTTGCTTGGCCTTCAGCAACACTTCGGTTACCCATGATCTCCAGTCATCCTGAGAGAAGCTGAGCCTGATAAGCTTACCCCTGAGATTTCTAATAATGGTCCAGTTTTAACAGTTAGATTGACTGAGATCTGGGCGTAATCCTGTTTGACTGTTCTCGATCGCTGATTGTCCCAATTTATAAGAAAGGGTGAAAGTCCTCTCATGAAAATCATAGGAATAAGTCTAACTAATGTAGTACCAAAAACATCGGCCTCAATAATACTTCGACGCCTAACTAGAGCTCGTGAAGAGCATATTCGAAAAAACCAGGCTAGTTTTTGACCTGGACGTAGATGTATAGACAAAATATTGACACTACATCAGGTCCTAGAACAAAAAAACACGTTCAGATGCCCGACAATGCTACTATTTCTCGACTCTAAGGTGGCATTTGACTATGTCAATTATTCGGTTCTATGGCAGTCTGTCATTAAAAGGTGTACCAAAGAAGTAAATTAACCTTATACAAGCTCCATACTCGAATACTACTGGTCGAGTATGAGCATATGTTGAACTGTCATCGGAATTGGTTACTTCAAGTTGTGTTTGTCAGGGCTGTCCACTCTCTCCTTTCTTGTTTAATTTTGTCGTAGACATGCTTTTAGAGTTAACATTATCATCGTCTGACTTTTCAGGAGTGGACCTTTCACCAGCTGTCTTCGAAGCGTTGCTCGTATATCCTTGGACCATCGAGTAAGCAATGCTGTCGTTAGGAAACAAGTACCACGTGGGGATGGCAAATCAAAAGATGAAGTTCTTAAACTTCATCAGTTGAGGTAGTTGGGATATGTGTTTCGTATGCCTAACCACCGACTGCCGCGACGTTAGTCAGTCACTTGCAACGTAGAACTTCGTACGTATGTACATAAGTTCATGTTGCCATACCACATTAGCACAGAGACGCAAATGTCAAATCAAATCCCATAGTGATAAAGATAGTAGAGGTATTAATGGTAATGACGAAGACTAGGGTTTGAAGATATTATTCAAGAAGTATAATTCAGTGTGATAAGGTTAGAAAAACAACGGTACAGGTGATGACGAATTCAGAAGATTAAGATTTGAGAGAGTACACCGAATGGATGCACTTGCGCCATTGCAAACGATTTTGAGCCATGTCGTTCAAGGTCTCTAACCATTGGTGACTTTTGTCCCGCGGACCACAACCAGGTAGTCTACATTTACCAACATAGTTCAGTCCAGTTGTCGATGTCTTTATGGATTTGTGTCCTGTTTCAGTCCGGCCAACCCTATCTTTCTTCCAACCTACTCCTACATCACAAAATATTGCTCGTCGTAGTACTGAATATTTCATCTATGTGCTTCCAAGAGATGTACGTCTTAAAATGATCGATTCATCTCAATTTCAGTGAAACACCTCAATAACATCTTCACACCCGACCGAAGCTGCTACCTTGATGTGGTGGTCAGGCTTGCCTATCGTCATGACCCAACCGAGCTATATTGGCTGGAACATATGTTCCTGAAGGTTCTACCATGCCAGGCAGGTCGATTGGAGGACGATCGGACTAAAAGCAGCTACCCAGGGTCTGAGGGCGAAGTTGTACTGCTGACTACTGCAGAGGGGTGTAATGACAGCAGTAAGGTGTTTCCCTCAGACAACCAGCCTCTGCAGCGATGCTGCCTTCTCACAAGGAAGGAAGGGTTAGAAAAGGTCGACCCTAAAAATCTCACACCTCACCCTACCTCACGGATTTCCGTCTCCGTCGGTAAGGGCTGTCCACTAAGGGCTTTTAAGAGCGGAGCTAATACTCAAAAATCCTTTCATAAAAAGGCCGTGCGTGACCGGCCTCAAGCAGTTGTCCCTTGTGCTCTGCGGTCATGCTCCCAGGTCTCCAAGACCAACACTAATCTATCTTCCTTTTCAGGTCTCTCAAGAAACAACCTTCCACGGTGTGGGCAGCCGGGAAGTGACAACCGCCCTCATACTCGAATTGGTCAAGATCAAATCCTTCCTACACCCCCTAATCCCTCTCTTATCTCTACGACTAACTCTTCTCACATTCCTTTATCACACTGCACAGCTAATGCAAACAATGCGAGTTCACTAAATGTCATTCCTGGTCTCTTGAAACCCCGTTCTAAACTACATGTTGGAGCATTTAATGTACGGACATTGTGTCAAATACGGCAACAGGTTTCATTAGCCAGGACTTTAGAATCTTACACCATCGATTGTATAATGTGTCTCGGAAACGCGCATACAGGATCCGAGTAGTATCATTCACTTGACCTCACCATGTCAAGATAAAGAAGCAACTCGATTTACTCTTTGTGTATCCGGTGGCCCTGATGCTGCTACCATGGGTCTCGCTGATGTAGGTATAGTATTGAGTCGTAGGGCAGAACTAGCTCTCCTAGACTGGATCCCTGTAGATAGTCACTTGTGCGCCGTCCGACTGAACGGGACAGTAAGGATTCGAAAGGATAGGAACACTCGTCGTTGCCTCTTCGTCATATCAGCCTACGCCCCCACTGACTGCAGTTCAGACGATGTAAAAGATGAGTTTTACAGAAGACTGCCGCGATGAGTGATGTTTTGTGGTATAGGAGTAGGTTGGAAGAAAGCTAGGGGCGGAAAAACCAAATCCATGAAGTCACTGACCAGTGGATTGAGTCATGTTGGTAGATGTAGGCTACCTGGTTGATGTCCGCGAGACGAAAGTCACCGAGGTTTAGAGACCTTGAACGACATAGCTCAAAATCTTTTGTAATGGCTCAGTTGCGTTCATTCATTGTGTTCTCTCAAATTCTAACCTGAATTCCTCATCACCTCTATCTTTCTCTTCTTAAATTTATCTCACTGAATTACACTTCTCGAATCATATCTCTGAACCCTAATCTCCTCCACTACTGCTAATACTTCTACTATCGCTACCACCATTGGATTTGAACTGACAGTTGCGTCTCTTTGCTAATGCGGTATGGCAACCTGAACTGATGTACGTGCGTACGAAGTTCTACGTTGTAACTGACTGACTGACTAATCTTTGTGCATGACACATTCTGTAGCGTTGACGAGTACGTACTTCCGATAGACACTATGAGTTTTGATTCATGATATATCTACTGTTCAAGTCTGGCATTAACGTCATGAGTCAGAAGTTCGACTGTAAATTTGCGCTTTTGATGTACATTGCCGTCAGCAGAGCTTAGTAAGGAGTACAGCCGCAATTAACCACTTAATCCTTGTAATCATGCTATTGCAGAAACAGTAGAATCATTTAGATATTTTACTTTCAATCATACTATTTGGTTTCCAATATCCCAAGCATGCACGATAAATAATACTGTTGGTTTTATTACTCCACGGTGTTAAACACCATAAGTATGAACATTTGTGACTGTTCTCATTACTCAGTACTGACGTACTACTACTAATACCACTACGATTAACTGGACTGCCACCGCTTGCAGGTGTTAGCTGTTTCCTATACGTTTTATAAACGTTATGATTTTCTTTGATGCTTATCTAATATATCTCTAGCTCCATAAAACAATTTTTAAGATTTTATATCTTCCTAAATTACCAATTATTGACATAAACCCTTTTCTATTGTACTTAATCAGGGTACTATTACTTGGTTGATAGTAAGTGTCCTATCACAAAACTCACTCTGCTTCCTTCCATCGTAGTTCTTCCTTTTAGGAAAAATGCTAAACATAATTTTCTCGTTAATATTGGTGGTAATACTTGTCACCTTATTATCCCAATATTTTGTATTTGTGCTTCTATTGTGTTGTGAAGCGATAAAACTTACGTACGTTCGTACGAAGTTCTACGTTGTAACTGACTAATTCCTAGTGTTTTGCACTTGATATTAATTTAACCAGATCTTTTGCTTGGGTTGTAATTCAATGCCTAAGCTTCACATTGTAAAGCAACTTTTTATAACGACTATTTTTATTAAAACAGTCATATAGTCAAATTGTCTTATATTACAATAGGATTTTTAAGATACAACACAGTCTAGTTTAATAATAGAAGGTTCTTGGCCTGCTTTGTCTCGTTTATTTTTGCGATGTCCACCAAGACTTAGTCGCCCTAGCTTTCTAATAAATCCTATTCCAGGTGAATTTATATCTTGTAACTTAGCGTTTGTGTCAAGTGCCAGGTTATTTCTTTCCTGTGCATCAGAATGCCTAGGACGTTTATTGTATCCTATGTGAATAACTGTTGCGCCTTTAGATGATGAATTCCCAAAAAGTACAGCAAATGCACTTGCTCGTCTTCTCTGATCAGCCTGGTCAGACTTAGAAGACAAGAAGTCGAATAAAATTCTATTCTCTCCAGCTGCTTGATTTTGTTCCCATAGTACTTTTAAAATTTCAATCATACCGTAATTATCACGAGCTGATGCAGTAACAATCGAACTAAAAGGTATTTGTAAGTCATCTGCTAGTTGTTCAACGTCTTCATCTTTTACCAGCCATTCACTTTCCCTAATGTCACTTTTGTTGACAACTATCACTGTTATCAATTTTCTGTAGTTTTCTTGTCTTTCATCTTGAATTTCTTTCAAAATTGTTCGTATCCTGTCTAGACTTGTTGGGTTATCTCTGGCACAAACTAATACAAACGCGGAAGCTCTTCGTTGCCATAGTCTGCTCATTGCTGGAAACATGTAACCGCCAGCAGTGTCAATAAGTCTCAACCTGCATAACCTTCCCCCAACTATAAATTCTCTGACAAATGAATCCTCAATGGTAGGTTCATAGTTGTCGTTCCATAAAAAATAACTTGATCCTTTGATTATTCGATTAACTAAAGCTGTCTTTCCTACTCGTGCTTCTCCCATGAATACAACTTCTGCATGCGGTTGCTCTCGATCATCCATTGAAAGTAGCTCCTAAGAATAAGAATAAGACAAAAATGATACGTTATTATCGGATATATTTGTATGGGTATGGTTTGAACTCGACATCACCTTTCAAAGTTTAGGTAGCATTAATTGAAGTTTAATTTTCGGCATGCAAATCAGGATAACGACTTCAACTATTAAAAAAATTATCTGAGGGGTAAACATCATTTCTAAAGGATAGAGAGCATATCCTACGATTACTTGCTTGCTGATAGCACTTAGCCAGTCGATTAAGAAGCAGTGTTATTAGTTGCTGTATATCGTTTATACCTTAGTTCACCAGTAAATTTTCTGTGATTCCTACTTCTAACTCGACAACTTTTAGCAGTTGTTAAGTTTTATCCTTCGTTCATGCGTATGTAAAAGTACATCGCTCTCGCTAGTGAAACATTCTGATTTTTTTTATGTTTAAAAGTAGACTAAATATTAATTAAGATATTGTATTTGAGTTCATTTTCAATTTTCACTGGTTCTAAGTGGTGTTCATCACTCGTTTCATTCTACTTTTGTGATGGTACGACGAGTTTTCTGGTATGGTATTTTGGTTTACTCTTTATCCTCCATAAGTCATTTTTTCGCCTCTTTGTCCATATTCAAACTTTATGTTCTCAAATTTACTAAAAATAATAGTTTGCAGAATTTTTGTTTACGCTGAATGGACTTATAATTGGGGGAAAGATCAAAGTATTTTAGGATTAAGTTCGTAAATTTTCTGATCTGTTCTCAAAAGTGAATTTCATTTTTTTACATATATAGTGAACTGTTTAAAACTTATTGCTCAACTTTCAGGGTCACTATTACCTGATTATTTAATTAGTATGTATTAAAATTACATCTTTGATGTGATGTTTATGATTTGGGTACTTAAGCCAGTCCATTCAGGGAATATATAAAATGGAATTTTGAAGGGAATAGGATTTTTCGACCATCCACCATTCCATATTGTTACAACGAATCACAAGTTGAGTGAAGTTCGTTCGAATAGAAATACGATTGTCTATATAGAAAGTAACATGAATTTTCTCAACACATCAAAATATGTAACAAACAATAGTTTTTAATTAATTATGTCATATAAAAACGTTAAACTCAACTGTAAAAATCGGTTAGTGCTCGTAACTTTTCTTCGTTTCAGTTTGATCCTTGGCTCACCAATTTTTAGCCAAACCTACCTTTTGGCATAATTCAGGTATTTTTATATAATTATGTCGAATGTGCCTTATTGTTGTTTAAATCTAATTTCAGCAGTTAAATAAGGTTTTTATTGAACTCTGATTTTTAATTGAAACCTGAGGCTATCTAGTCAAAACCACACTTTCTCTCTTATCAATAATTTGTATTCTATGGAACTAAGATAAAGTTAGTGAGGTTGTATGATGAATGTAATTATCTTGAATCTTATCCCCTGTCCTCATAGAACCAGTGGTTAGATAATATCCGTCTACTGTTACTAGATCTACTACTCAAATAAAGGCTGTTTTGATCTCATGAATAAAGATATTGTTTAGCCATAATATTGTATAGGCAAGTAATTGAATGACATAAAAAGTTAATTATGTGTACTTTTTACTTTTGAAATATGATATCATTTATTTCTGCTAATCCTTCCGTCTGAACCTTTGTTACAGTTCAATACATATCTGTGTAATCGTGACTGTTGATGGGACTAGTGGAGATAAAATTTCTTGTTGCACAGTGATAAGATGGTGACATCTACTGGTAGCAATGTCATGTATGTTACCTTGAGGTACTAATATTTTTTATCTTGCAGGGTTACGTTTTTTAATTGATAGGATTACATAAAACTGTAGGTTCGGTGCCTTGAATATGTTTTCGTCGTACATTCTTAACTGCTTCCATGCATCCAGAACAGTTTAGTCGAGCTCCGAACAACATTTTCATTAAATTAACTGTTTCGATTATGTTTTCTGGTTAGCGTTTTTTTGGCAAGTTAGTTTTTTGGTGGGATGGGGTCCCCAACCCCATGCCCAACCCTCCTCCTTTATCAGGGCTTGGGACCGGCAGTAGCCCTCAAGGTTCTACTGGCGGATATTTCAATTTCCCGTCATCTGGAACCTAACTTTACTTTTAATTTTTTTCAATTTTTGTGCGAGATAAATGATACAAGGCACTTTGCGTGCATTTAATGTTTGACATACAATAAGAATCAAAAACTTACTTAAGACCATTTAAAAAACTGTGACAGATATATGAGTATATTTGTTATAATTGGTTATTCACTCATAAAACGTTTTATAATGACAGTGAAGTTATTTTATCTCGCTTTGATGTTGACCTACCTCATAAATTTAGAGCTTGCTATCAATATTTTCTCCTGATTTTTTATTCAAAGTATTGATTATATAATTACTTGAATGTGATCTTGTAATAACAATGACAATGATAACTATTATTATCTTTAGATATATGGGATTTGAAAGGCAAATCGTCCAGTAGTTAGTGAAATTTTCTGTCAGCTCAAGTCCTGTAGATATGAACAAATCCGAATGATTTGTATGGACAAGATATTGCTCACTAGCTTACCGATTGGCTATAGTTGAATAATAAGTGTATACTCAAGTTTGACACTTAGAAATTTGGATTAATTTTCGGAGAAAGCTGCTGGGGCCATTAGATTTTGATCTCTGAGACTTCTTAAATGCATAGTTCTTAAATCCAACAACGCTAATGATTAGGCATAGATAGGATGTTTCAAAAACAATGAATTTATGAATTAAATGGTATAAGTTGATCAGTAAGAACTAAAACTATGTAACATGTACCTAAGTGGCTTCAAAATCAGTTAACGTCAGATAAAACTATTTTAGTCAAGAATTCTACAAAAATTATTCAGTCTAACAATTATTTATCTTTCTCAATCTTCTATTTAAGGCTTTCATTTAGTTGCTTTTCTCCGACTATGTGAAGTCATTTGAAATAAATTAGTGAATATTAATAATTACTAATATTTGGAATCTTGATTATTCATCGAAATTAGGATTTAAGATCCAGGTCGTTCATGTCTGTTATACATTAAAATATGTTATGTCATCCTTCAGGAAGTATGATTCTTGCGAATTTTTGTAACTTGTTTCAGGTAATCCAAAGGATAGCTTTTGTGTACTCACAATCTGGTTAGTAAGTTTGTTCATGCATTGAAGAACTTAAATCTTATGATAATTGGTTGCTTTGTAATTCAATGTTTTACTTTTATTTAAAATTTTTATGTAAGACTAAGAATTTATGGAAGCCTTATACGAATTTGATTTTATCATGACTAATGTTTTCGTAATGTTATAGTTCTGTGGCTAAAAGTTAGTTTTGTTATCTTTCGAATTATTTTAACTTATTTCTCTAAATATCAATACTGACTTCTCAAGGTTAACTTGTGATTTGTCTTGAAAACTACTGGTTAACAATATCCTTTTCCGATCGAAATCTGTATAAATCGTCAATCTTCCTGACTCGTCACTTTAATGAATATAGTTTTGGTATAAAACTACTTTGTCAGATAAGGTTATTGTCTATTGTAGGTATGCTACTGTTTACACAAACTCCGTTAGTGGACATTTGCTTGCATCTTACATATTTGACTCGATAGAACACTTATTCCTATCAAACACATCCATATAAAAAACTCACAGATAATTAGTTAAATATTTGTTACAGTCGCTCTGTAGAAATGTACACATCAATTGAACCTTAACAAATTAATCTTATAGAAGCATTTTAAGTAAAAATAATCTTAAAATTGTCATTGAAGAAAAGTGATGTAGAGGCTCATGACAGAAACCGATAATCCCTAACAGCAGTAGTATTTAAGTAAGTTAAAAATATAAAGCAAAGGAATCAGTTGATAATTGATTAAGAAGCATGACTAAAATATTATTCCTGAACTGAAGGAGAGTTTAGAGAAAAAATGCATCTACACTAATTTGCTTAGCATTACTAAAAGTCTCTTTTCACTGGTCTTTTTTTGTAAGCCATGACAAGAAAATTAATCATTGTGTTTATTGGTTAGTTTAATAGTCTATCACTTTCAAGTGGTTTCATTCGTTGGTTTTACCACTGACTTCTGTTTACACCTATTAAAGCAACTCATGATTAGACGAGCTTATATTTTTGTGCCTCTTTTCTGTTTTTATTAATGATCCCCTTACTCAGTAACCTCACTATTTTGATATTTTCAGCCTTTTCGCAAATTCTTCCACATGCTTTAGTTTAAAGTAATACTCTTTTAACTGATATACAACCGTGCCAGTTTCTACTTTGTTTTCACCTGTTTAACTTAATGGTAACACTCACTCTAATGATCAAGATATTTGGATTCGAGATACTTAAACGAGCATCTGTACATTCCATCATAATATCCCTTGCCAACAATCGTTAGTCTATTCAGATATCACTTAAAGGTATTAATTAGTAGAAATAATGTTTTAATTTAAATATAGTTTTACCGTACGGTCTGACTTAAAATGGATATTTTGAAACAATAGATGATTGTTCTTTTGCAGGTATAATTTTTCACTTGACTCATGATGTTAGGAATTTCTCTTATTGCAAAGTATTGATACTTACTGAATGATTATTTAAAACTCATTATTTGAACTTGAGCTATCTATTTCAAAATCTTACTAGCCAAACTTGAAATTTAAAACAAAAGTGTGAGACATAAGTCGTTAGTTGCCTGAATCTGCATAGTAGTAACTGGTTGCTACCAACCGGGTCGTTGGAAGTAACTTCTAAACCAGCCATGTATCACTAGGTTTGTATTTTACGAACATGATATCCATACTGAAAATTCGTCAGTTTCGAAATCACAAATTCGGTACAAACAGTTATTTATTTTACTTGGTCATAGTTATCGATAACCAGTTATTATTGTTATGTCGAAAAATTTAACTTGATCTGACACATTCATGTTTTACATCACGTGTTATTTATGTAACTTTAAAATTATTCTGATGGAACTTACCTTGTTTTCCTTGTTTGTGAAATAATATCCAGTATTCTCTCTTTTTTATGATAAGTTCCCTTTAGTGTCAAACTAGTCAATCACATGTGAACAACATAAATTGTCACAATTATACATAAGTACAGGTGAACTTTGAGTATGTCAGTGGTATAGGTTCGTCTATGTGTAGTAATAATTTCAATTTAAACATTAAAGTAGTACGTCTGTTTTCAAATCATTATAACTTCCTCATTTTTGGTGTTCTATTTTAATCAATGTACATTCGTCTATCTTTTTTCGGATAATGACTGATAATTAGTTTAACTGCTATTTACTGTCTTCTTTTAAAGAGAAAACCACTCCTTTTATACTCAACTATTCTTTTTCCTATCAATAGTACTATAACATTTATTAATGTTCTTATTGGATACGTCGCCACATACATAAGAACTTATGTCACAACAATTAATCTCATTAGTTACCTGTCCCAAATCTTTACTTACGTTGTATTGGCTCATATATCATTCTGGCTAGCTGTTAACCAACCAATAAGATTATACATATATATATATATATATATATATATATATATATATATATGTATATATATATAAAGCTGGTAAAAATCTAATTAATTATTAGTGTTAAGAGATCAATAATCAGATGCGATCACTAAAATGTAAAAGTCTGGCATGTAAAAAACCGGCCAGATTTTCAACAATAAGATAATATTTGCTTTTTCCCCATTTTCATTTTTTTTGTATATCTCAATAAGTATGACAAGTTTATTTAATCATCTCTTTGTCACGTAAATGGAATTTCAGCGTTATATGTGTTGCATTTGATGCTTGTCGCACTTCCTTGGTTATAAAAACTATTTATCATTTGACCCAACTAACATAAACAGCAGTTTACCTATTGATGATAAATTACAGTTAACAACTTTTATTGATTGTGTTGCTTTACAATCGGAGGTGAACTCAATTATCCCTCATGTTTCCTGACTTCAATTGTCGTGTTTTCTTTAATAATTAAAATGAAGTTCATCCCTGAATAGTCTGTTAATTAATATTCCTCCCTTAAAATAACATCAGTTTTAAAAGAATGATCACATTGGACAGTTGTCTAATTATTTACATTGTTGTTTTCATTAAAACAGTGTATAATTCAGTCCAACTGATTTTACTTCTAGAATCTAATAGTCGCGGTTAGTTCAGCTTGCAGTGTGTAATCCGTTGTCTACTAACAAACATTATTGATTAATTTTGATTCTGCAATACGGGAATTTTAATTTATTTCTAAACGTATAATTTACAATCGAAATCTTACTGTTTTACTGTGTTCGGTGTAGCCTTTTAAGTGCCAATATCTTGGTGACAAGTATTGCCAAAAATTTGGCTCAAGGTTATCCAGCACTTGTTAGTTGTAAGTGTTTTCTATTTGTTTATCTTAGAATTTATTTTAACTTCAATTCTTGTCCATTTAGCGGGATTTAAAAAGTCCTTTTCTACCTCCCACTTAAGATTCCAAATTAGCGGGCTTTGATGGAACTTTCAAGCCTCTGAATTCCAAGTTCGCAGTTGATCTCTTGTTTATATTACTAGAATATTTAAAATGATCAGGTTATTCTAATTTCTAAATGACTCTAGGGTGTTTGTTTTTTCTCAGTATTTAGACTGAGCACTGTATGCTTCTCGATTCCTAGTTACTTAAATTATTTCTGACTATTGCCTACAGATGCCTTATCTTTAAAAATTTTCTAAAAAGACGCGTGATATTTATGACCTGGCGGTTAATATCAACACCTTTTGATCGTTGATTCCCGGCTGTGAAACTTGTTTTGCTCGATCCTCTTCATAAAATATGTAGCTGAAAGCTAATTAAATGAGTTACATCAACATTCACATGCATTATTTCTAAAAAAAGATGTAGAAATTTCTTATCTCACATTATCCTCTTAATTTGTTTGTTTTCATTATAGATTAAATTATTAGTATTACTATCAATTGTTAATTAACAATATGGGTCGTTCTGATAGTCGTAAACGTAAACGTACTACAAAGTCTGTCAAAGAATCAAATTCAAAAAGAACTAGGACAGCTATTTATCGACCTGAAGATGAAGATTCTACAATGTCAGGTTCATTAGATTTTGATAACGAATCTGGGGAAGATGCTTTTAATAATCATAGTGAGGTCAATGATTCTAATGCCAAGAAAATTGGTAAAATTAGCTCAGAGATTGACGATGATTTTGATGACAATGTTGAACACGATGATGAGGATAATGATGATGATGGTGATATAGATGAATATGAATCGGGCACAATAGATGCAGATGAATTACGTGTTGCCTCAAGAGCGCAAATGACAAAAACTCGTCAACAGCACGATCCTTCAGCGAATAAACCAACAGACACAACAGTTGTCTGCACACCAAAAGATGAATTTGGTGCTAAGGATATGAGAAATCTATTAAAATTACGTTTAGATCATCCGTCCCGTCCATTGTGGATAGGTCCAGATGGGCACATTTTTCTTGAAACTTTCAATCCATTTTCTCGTCAAGCTCAAGATTTTTTGATTGCTATTTCAGAACCAGTCTGTCGACCTTTACACATACACGAGTACAAACTCACCTCTTATTCACTGTATGCAGCCGTTTCAGTTGGTTTACGTACTGGTGAGATAATTGGTTGTCTACGTCGCTTATGCAAAACTAATCTACCGGACGGTATTATCGCATATATTCGTAGTTGTACATTGTCATACGGAAAAGCAAAATTAATTTTAAAAGGTGGTCGTTATTTTGTTGAAAGTCCACATCGTCAATTCTTATATCAGTTAGCAAATGATAAAATTGTTCAACAGTGTTTGAATAAAACAAATGTTATTACGGAAAGTGATGATAGTAAACAACAAGAAAAGGAAGTTGTAAAATTGTATAATGCTGCATCACTAGTAATACAGCCGCAACACCAGCAAGAAGATAGCAGAGAAGTTCAAACGGAGAAAGAAATCGGTATACAAGATGAAATGTTACGCCTTTATGCTCGTTTGGATGCAGACGAAGAAGCAGGTGAAGCAAATTCTACCCTGGTTGATACAACAAAAAAATCAGGGAATAATTTCTGGGAACAGCCCAGTGATACTGTAAATATTAATGCGATCGGTATTGAATCAGATGTTACTGATCGTGAAGGTGAATTGATGGATATAAAAGATAATGGCAACACTGTTGGCATTAAATTGGTTCTTGACTCATCTGTTCCAAATGATCCGAAAACTCCAGTTGTACTTGCTTTAGAAGTGAATCAAGATCAAATTGAAATTCTTCAACGAAGATGTATTGAATTAGAAGTACCATTATTAGCTGAATATGATTTTCGTTTAGATCGTACCAATAAAGACATTTTAATTGATTTAAAAGCCAGCACAACATTAAGACCATATCAAGAAAAAAGTTTACGAAAAATGTTTGGTAATGGTCGGGCTCGTTCTGGTGTTATTGTTTTACCCTGTGGAGCTGGTAAAACATTGGTATGTTATATTTTTATATATAGTATTGTAGTATTATTTAAACAGTGAAATAGACTTTTTGCTTCACTTCTTCACTGAACTTATCGAAACTCAAATCTAGGTTACCACGCATATTATGAATACGAACAAAATTTCGATTCCTTGGTATCATTTTTTTTCAATAGCGACAACGTAAATCTAAGGGAATGTTTTTGGAATTATCAAACTAGATTTTGTATCTTGTGCTACTCAGTAAGGTAGATACACATATTTTGTTAGCTTTGATGATATTTTCCAGTCTGTACAGCGTGTAGTGTTGCGAACCTGGCGGCTCATTTTTATCATCCAGTCTTCATATTTGATTCAACCAAAATAAACAAACAACTATACGCATATCACATTAATTACTTTGTTAAGATAAGAATGGACTACCTATTAATAAGTTTGATAAAACATTACTCTTAATATTGAAAACCTTTTTTAAAGACTTTTTAACAGTTAGTTCTTTTTCAAACCTCATGTGTAAATAAAATAACATGTTCAGTACAAAGTTAGAATTATTCTATGTTGCACGTAATTTGTACATTCATTGAATAGAAACGAGCTACTTTCAAAAAAAGTGAATATTGTAAATCACAACCACTAGCTGTCTCATCGAAACAAACGGATTCATAGCCTGAAAGCAGTTAATGAAATCATATATTCCATGTATTGCATAATGTAGTCATGAGTTTATTATGACTAGTAGAGTCTCATTATGTATGAAAAATTATTTAAAATGCGATTTTTTCAAATCATATGTTTAATTGTGTTGATAGTATATAATTTTAGATTGACGTAAGACTTATAATTGTATAGTGATAATAATAATAATAATAATAATAGGATTAGACAAGATCAATGAAATTCTATCATTTCCTGGAATTATCATTCTTCCATATTTTCTGGCTCACCATCATTGTTGTTATTGGTGGTGTTGGGGTTGTAACGTCGTCATCAATGTGACATAATTTGTGATTATATGTTTTGCGATTTTTTATTACATAGCATTTTTTGTATTTACATTTAATCTGTTTAAATAGGATGAAAGTCGTCACATTGATCATTGTATATCATCTATATGTCATTAATCAGTACTCACTAGATATGTTCCACTCATTAAACATATCCATTTTTAAATCACTTTTGCCTATATTTATAACTGATCATCCTAACTCACTGTATATGACCAATTATTAGAGACGTTATGGTGAATCGCTTCGAAATCTGGTCACTGTGAGGTGGTTGTATTCAGTTTTCAACTCTTCAGTTTTTATATATTTCATTCGCTTTTCTTTAGAACAATATTTCTCATATTTAACTTACTATCAATATTACTATTCTTGAGTCTTATTCTTTGTCTTAGTAATTCCTTTTATCGCTATACTTACATGAACCGTGAATTAATTAAGCTTTAATCATAGCCTACGTTGTTTGCGACGTGAATGTGAATACGCAAATCAATTTTTTTTCATTGATGTTTGTACAATCCTATAATCCAGGTTTTTGATGATGATCTGTCTAGCTAATATTGATTCGTGATTTTAACTACACAAATCCCCTTCATTATATAAAATATTGTAGAATTAATTGTTTGTGACAAATGCATCTGATTGTTATGCATTATGTTGACATATATGTATCTGATAGACATTTAAAGTGTAAACAGTCGAGTAATATTCCTTTTTATGACTACACTGGTTGGTTTTTCATTATCATCCTTATAATGTTTTTTTTTAGAAATTTCCCCAAGATTCCACCGATCATAATGCACCTTTCTACATTAGTCAAATGATGACAATATATCAGTATTTATTGTTTGAATTATTTAAGTTTTACCTTCATGATTTACGGATTCTGTTTACCGATTACTTGTTAAAAATTTAAAAATGTGAAACTTTGGAGACCATCCTTCGGGCATTGTGTATGTTTATCAATTCGACATAAATCCACTGAACAGTTGGATTCTTTTAATTTAGAGCTTTTACCTTACAATTTCAATTAACTGTTTATACACCGTTTGCCGTTCATTAATCACAGCAAATTCATCATAAACTTGTTATCGAGATCTGTATCACAAATGTCGTAGTTATGTATGCGTTGAGCTTTGCTTTTGTAATGTGTCATGTTCTTGTATTGTATGTAAGCTGGATAATAATACTAGGTATATGGCTGATCTTCCCAGTATTCTCATTAGTAGATCGGAAGCGGATGAAATTTTCTCCTGGGTTATCAGTCGTTAGCAAATGCAGTAGCTCCGTTAACCGACCCCTTGTTAACTTGACTTAATCAAAGTTATGACCCTGCTAGGGTTCCAGTTCACTTCATTCTTTCATCTGTACACAGTCGGATTGGTACATGTTCTCAAACTCAATTTTATTTCTCTGTAGTCTCCTTACATCTATTATAACTCTGCACACAAACAAATAGAAACCTAGATACTGGTCTCCACATGTTCTTCATTACATGCTCATATTTAGCTAATAGGGTCAATCTTATTATATATACAATATAATTACTTTCAACTTTTCATGAATCATCACTACTTACGTGACTTGCCTTACTTCCACGTAAGATTTCAAAAAAAAACTATGTCCTAATATACTGAATTATGCTACTGATTATGATAATTACTTTTCATAAAAGCCTTATACACTATGGACTATCAACAAAGTATCAACAATAGCTTATTCCAAATCATTTCAAATAGAACTATTACATTATGTTTACTATCTGAAATTGTACATTAAACTAACTGATTTTTTCTAATGATGCTTTGTAAATCTTCTGTTATCAAATCAGTTTTTATGTTCAGCGTTTTTCCTTTTACTTGCTATCCCTTCAGACTATTAATCTGGACAAATAGTTTGGGAGAAGCTGAAAAGAATTAGTTGAAAAAATTACTTTTCAGTCATATATATGTGTTACACTTGTTGTCAACTGATAACTGTTTAGAACAGCGATTTTTGCAACATTAAAAACCGCCTAGCCTTTTTAAAACAGTTGTTATGAATACAAATATTACAAACCACCCCCTTCTTTAATACTATTAAAATGTAAGTGTCAGATTTCACTATTTCTTACACAACGCATAATACTTTTATAATACAAATCCTGAAGACACATGCAAAAGGGACATAACTACATAACACTGCTATTAATAATAACATCGAAACTTTTTAGATCAAATTACATTTTACACTAGGCGCATTAATTCGATTCGATGCGCGTCGTTTTTCATTGTGACTTTAGCTCCTTCCATTGCTTTTCCCCCCATCTAACCTTCTTTGTTTTACTTACCTTTTATTTCGTATCATATTCATTTTCAAAACAAATTCTTCCTAAAGAATACTCAATTTTCATATAATACTATACCAGTAATAAAAATAATAAATTTCATTTTCGTGGGCTGTTTTCCATCTCTACCTTTAAATATTCATGATGAAGAGACCATGAGTCATTTTGGACCAGTCAATGGCCTATTGATTTATTTTGCTTCTGTTGACAGTAAACCATTAAGTACTGGCAGCTGTCTCTGTTTATGTGTGTTAGTGAGAGGGAGAAGAAGTGTGTTAATCATGTTCGGAGTTGTTTTTCTCTTCTGTCACTATGACTTATCATTATTCTAAGTCTTGTGGTGACATGTACACATATACGCCCAACTTTTCCCATCTGTCACATGAGGACAAATCGGTAAGGTTGAATCGTATTTACCATTTTCATAAAACATTTAATTTTTAGTGACAAGCCTTGTGTGTGTGTGTGTATGTATGTGTGTGCCGATTAGACATCCCTTGCATTCATAGTATCGACAATCGTTAAAGCTAATGTATTTTAGAATTGTTTCACACACAAATGTTGATGTCTACTAAGCGACTAAGTTTGAAATAGCAATTAATTTGTTCTTTGTACATTTTTTGACCATAATTTCGAATTGAACAATATCAAATGATTTCTTAGATTGTTATTTTTCATTTGAATACATAATCAACGGTTTAACTATTAACATGAAAAACTAATAAGAATTGCAATCGTTTCCTCAAATGGTCAACATTTTTTACAATCAGGTCGTTAAAATATTCATGTTGAATTTTTAAACTACTGATACTACTGTTTGTGTATAAAAGAACTTTTATCATTTCAAGATTATTCACAGGATTAAAAATTAGTCTTACACTAAATCTTAATTACCGTTTACACTGACCGTAGCTGCTACCTTGACGTGGTGGTCGGAATTGCCAATCGTGATGACCCAACCGAACTATATTGACTGCAACATATGTTCTTGTACGTTCTACCATGCCAGGCTGGTCGATTGGAGAACGGTCAGACTAAAAGCAGCAACTCAAGGTCTGTGAGCGAAGTCTTACTGCTGACTGCAGAGGGGTGTGACAGCAGTAAGGTGTTTGCCTCGGACAACCAGCATCTGCAGCGATACTGCCTTCTCACAAGGAAGGAGAGGCTTAGAAATGATCGAACCTAAAAATGGCGCACCTCATCTTATCTCACGGATTTCCGTCTCCGGTGGTAAGGCCTTTTAAACTACCCATAACAAGGCTGTGCGTGACCGACCTGTTGGGCTCTGCAGTCACAACATTCTACAGTGTGGACAGCCTGGAAGTGACATCCACAGTCATACTCGTAAAAGCACACTAGACCAAATCGGTCACAATCAATTCCTTTCTACACCCCCTAACCTCTCTCTTATCTCCATCATTAACTCTTCTCACATTCCTGTATCACGCTGAACCGCTGATGCAAACGATTCGAGTTCACGAAACGTTATTCCTAGTCCCCTAAAATCGCACTCTGAACTACATGTTGGAGCTTTTAATGTCCGAACATTGTCTCAAATAGGACAACACGCTTTTTCCGCTAGTACTTTAGAACCTCGCTCAATCGATGTATGCTGTGTCTCCGAAACGAGCATTTAGAATCCAAGCAAAATCAATAATTTGATTTTACCTTGTCCAGATACAGAA